TCTATGGGTTGGCAAACAGAATAAGTACCAAACAAATCAACAAAAAACTTTATAAATTCATCTCCAACTTGCTCCAGAGATGTGGTGAGATTACCATCCTCTAAGGTGATGGACGAGATGGCATTCCTCACGATCTTCTTCCTCACAATCGCATGAAAGTACCTAGTCCCCTTGTCCGCATCCAGGATTTGGTTTGCCTTCGCCTTCTGCTGGTAGAAACTCGTTTCAGCCTCAGTGAGGAATTTTGCTTTTTTCATAGCCTCCACCAACTGGTTCCGGTTGTCCTCATCCAATGGATTCTGAAGAGCTAGCTTGTGCAGTCTTTTATATTCTTCTTTGGCCCTCTTCGCTTTATTTGAGATGTGGCCGAATTCCTTTGCATTTAGATCTCGAAGTGGCCTTTTGAGCAACTTCAGATTCCTTACCAAAGAAAATTGGGCCGTCCCTTCCAAGTCTCGCCTCCAGTTCTGTGCTACTAAGTTTGCAAAGTCAGGATGTTTAATCCACATATTAAAAAATTTAAATAGTTTGGGCCTTAAAGAGGAATTATTGAGTATTGATATTACGGAAGCCGTATGATCAAACTCAACCTCCATTTCATGGAACTGGGCCATAACCACTAAGCCAAGTTGGCTCCAAATATCATTTAGTAACACACGATCAAGCTTAGCCCAGATTGTCCCTTTATTCCACGTGTAGAATTCACCCGTTGAGGGAGCATCCTCTAGGCTAGCTTGAACTTTAAAATCAAACAGATGTTGCATCATATAAGCTGTAGGAGGGGAACTCCTCAACCTTTCATTTGGAGCACATACGCAATTAAAGTCCCCCGCTATAACCCAAGGTTTGGTAAAACCATTCCCTAGAATAGCAAGTTTCTCCCATAATGCCTTGCGCTCCAAAACAGTATATAACGGATACACCAAAGTAGTTAGAAATATCAATTGGGAGATACAACATACACATTCAAGGTGCATATATTGTACCTCCACCGCATGAATAACACAATGTAACACATTCGGATTCCACATTAACGCCATACGGCCACCATTAATTTGTGAAAAATTTGTTTCACAAACCCACCCCAGCCATTTATTAGAGACAAAATTAGTAAAACTGGCCGCGGTCCTTTTTTATTCAAGAAAACAACACAAGCTAATATTATTAGAGTTAATATAACTAGCAATTAAATTATGTTTAGAGGTTTTATTCAAACCTCGGACATTCCAAACAAGGATCTTTATCATAAAAAAATTAAAAAGGTCGAGAGCAGGGGGTAACCCACAGAACCAAACCAGTGGGCTGTCAAGTAAGGTAGAAATCCGGATTGAAATCATCCGGGTCTATCCCTCCTTTGTCCTTGTTCGCTTTCCTTGCCCTTTTCCTCATTTCTTTTAAATATTTCTTATTCCTGTCCAAGTTAGCATAAAAAAAGGATAGGTATTTATGAATGAAAGCAGATTTATCAAATTCATACCAATCACCATTCCTCTTGGCTTCCGGACAGCTAAGAATAAAATCTTCAGTGAAGTTTATCCCGATTTCTTCACCTGTGAGTGGTTGCAAACTCAAACCCAGCTTAACAATGTTGACACCACGCTGTACTTGATCCGTTTCCCATGCATAAGCTATGGTTTTATTTTTTTCATTCTGACAGACCATAGTGACAACATCATCATATCCCATCTCGTACATGTTAGTTACTAGGTATCCTTTCCTCCATTTAAAGCTGGATCTCCTCGGGTTTCCTCATATAAACCGCCCAGCAAAGAAGCGTTAACATCCAGTTTTTCATCACCCCGTTTGGCACCATCCATGGCCAGATTGGTAGGAGTTACAACTTTAGCAAGTTGTTCTTTGCTTTTGAGAAATTCCACATTAATCCTATATTGGGGATCAAAAAAACATCCAACATTTATGTAAAAAATATCTGGATTAAAAGAGTACCAAGAAGACTTACGCTTTACCCCCGGTAGCGCCATCAGGCATGGGTCAGTGAACAACATGGCTGAAACATTAGGATTATCTAGCCTGTTGAGATCAAGACCCATCCTAGCTACTGGAATATAGCTCTTTATTTGGTGTCTCTTCTTAACGAAAGCAATATGGGCCCCATCTTCTTTTGGTATAAAATGATTGACAATATCATCCCGTTCCATCTGATGCATACAAGTAACCCGACGTCCGACCCAGACACTTTCCCCGCTAAGTTCATCGGCAGTAGGTACTGCATCCAGAACCAGGGGGCCTGTTGCAGCAGTAGATTTAAGGGCTTTCGGTTGAGGACGAGTTCCAGCATTCTTTGGGGCAAAGTCCTTATTTTGCACCGCTAGATGCAGTTCCTTATTTGGCAAAGTCCTTAAAATTGAGAAGTGGGTTCTTTAAGGCCGAGCTAGGTTCTTGGGCGGAGATGTTTGCCCGGCCCATTCCGGTAGCCCCTACCTTTCTAAGGGAGTATTTGCGATTGTTTGTACTTTTTAGATTATTGGAAAAATGATTTGCATTAGAAGTAGATAGAGTTTCTAAATAAAAGTGATTTTAACTAAAAGGTAAAAGTTGGAGTGTTTGATAAAAAAGTGATTTTTGATAGATTATTTTGTTGAAGTACAAGATTGCCCCTTGCATACATATAATATTACTGAAACACTCCAATGCATCAAACCGTAAGGCGTGAAATGAGAAGAGAAAAGGAGAGTAAAAATAGATGCTTCTAGTGCTTCCCGGTATGGCCGATGCTTCCCGGTACGCCGGTGTTTGAGAGAAAATTGGCAATTGATGAGTGATGGATGACGATTGAAGTTTGTGACCAAAAATTTTCCTTAAAAATGGAGGAACATGGGTTTTTATTTTTGGAACATAGATTCAAGTTACATATCTTTGGGAGAGGAAAAGAAGGATCTGGATGGAGTTGGGACAAAGCTTTGGGAGAGGAAAGACAAAGCTTCACCGGCGGTTGTGCGAAGGTTGTGGTCTACGGGGAGTTGGGGACGAAGGGTAGTCCAGGGACTAAACAGTATAATTAGGAATAAAACTTCCTAAAAGTTGGAATTATTTACCAAAAATTCTAGAAGCAGATAAATGCATGTACAACCCAACTTCCAACTTGCAGCTTAAATTGCTTAAAATAAGCAGAAGTTTCAGTTTACAAACATCATTTCTAACTTTTTTGAAGCTAAAGGCAGATAAATACTTTTTTAAGCATGGGCAAATACTGCTAACTGCTTATTAAGTTGTTCATGAGGTGGTGCGCTTTGCCATATGAGAGTTCTGGCCAAGGATGGAGTCTAGTTGCTTGTATGAACCGCTAGTATATATTCACGATTGGACCCGTATTGCCTATAAACATATGCTATGTTAATATTTTTCTAGAAAAATGTATTTACAAATTTGCATCCAATCAAGTTGTACAATGCATGTATACACATACTCATGCTAACCTACAAACTGTCACACATTATTGCATATTGAAGTTCAAAGTGTTGCATATTATTTGTATTGCATATTAAAGTTCACAGTGTGCATCTTTACATTATATATATGTATTGCATATTGAATTACAAAGTGTTGCATATTATTGAATTTGTAGGTTAGTATTTTAAGCATGATTTGTATTTGATCTTTCTCTATACACACATGTGATACAATTAATAAAAAATATTATTTGTTTGGCTATTTCCATATACTCTATGTTAATAGTTTCTAGAAAAATATATTTATAAATTTACATGCAATTAAATGGTACAATACATATATACACCAACATGGTTTGTTTACATACAACTTTACATGGATAATAGTTTACTACTTTGCTCGTTCGTAGAGTATTTTTTATATGTAATACAATTAAAAGATATTATTTGTGTGTCTATTTTTATATGGTTTAAATATATTATTGGATCCTGTATGTAAATACAAAAAATTATTTTTTACTTTTAATCTCTGAAATTTATGTTGATTTACTTTAAATCCATCACCAATGAAAACAACATCCGCTTGACAATGAAACAACATCAACTACTAGTAATAGATTTCATTTAATTCTGTAGGTACAAAACATTTAATAATACCAACTATCACCCACAAATCTTTAATAATACATACTTTGAAAATAATTTTTAATAATACAAAGTATTTGAATATAAAACAAAAATAATATGGAGTCACATTTCATCAAGAAATCAGGTCATTTAAGACATTAAAAACTAATCACAAACTATCTATCAGATAATTCATATTTGAAAATACAATCACCTATTTGATATTTTGATATTAGTTTTTGATGAACTAAATAACTGATTTTTCATTGAAAAATTGCTCTATATCACTTTTGATCTATATTTAGATAGTTTGTAACACCGTCCCCAAATATATTTACTTTTATGTAAATAATGTATTGAACCTTCTTAAAGAATTAATGAATTTACGAAGTTGTAAATTTTTATTATTCCTTTCGCGTGAATAGTAAATTGCACGTGGGACCCACACCGGGAGCGGGGACCGCCCGACACTCCCGAGACCACATATTTTATTCATCTTAGTCAAGATAATATTTATATAGTGGTGGATATTTTATTTGGGTCGTGGAAAGGCGCAGAGTTGACCGATTGGGAAAAAGAGGTCCAATTACCGGTACCGATAATTTGTCAGATAACAGCCCGAACTGAATTTCGGAGGCTTATAAATTAAAGTTGGGGGATGTATATTCATTATACATGTAATAATGAGTAAGAGCACATAATATATTTTATTTGACCCGATAAAATAAAATATATTTAAAACAGTCCGAAAAATACAACTTTCGGGACCAACTGTACACACCGGGACACAAAGGGATGACCTCCCACATGAGTGGGGGCCACCCCACGTTTTTGTGTGCTCAAATTGACCAAAGGAAGGCCAATAGTACACATGATGGGAGGGTGAGACATTGAGAGACACCCAAGGGGTCCCTCTCTCACTTATTAGCTAAATGAGACAAAAACAACCCATCCCCCCTCCTTCCTCCTCATTGTGCTCGCCCAAGACCCCAAGAAAGAGGAAGAAAAAGCTCTCCAACCCTCCTCCATTGCTGCAACTCGAGCTCAACCAAGAAGGGTCCAAGGAGTGGGATTAAAGAAGGAAAAAGGCTAGGAAAAGTGTGTAAAATTAAGGTAATAACCTTATTATAACTTTTCCTTTATTTTCCTTCTATCATATGAGGTATATATCATGTAAAGGACCCTTAGTATGATTCCACATGTTATAAGTATGGATTTATGGGTTGGAAGGTGGTTCTATGTCCAAGAACGGACTTAGAAGCCAAAACGACCGGTTCACCGGAAAATAACCTTTTTGAGGTTATTGGTATTAACATGGGTTTTATGATTATAAAACCTTGTTAGGAACTTGTAAAGGGTGTTTCAAGTGATTCCACAAAGTTGGAAAAGTCGCCGGAATTGTCGCCGGAGTTGACCAAAAGTCGCCGGAGTTTCACCGGAGTTCAACCAAGAAGGGTAGAACTTCATACGCTAGTTCAAGGTGAGTGGACGGCTTAATATCTTATAACTTTTGGGTCAATTATGAGATTACCTAAATAAATGTTATATGAATTCATAATAATGTTTAAAAGATATTTAAACATGTGATTAGCCAATAGGGTTAAGCTTTGTATGAAAGGAATTAATTATTTATGCATGGAATATAATATGAGAAATTATATATATACATATATGCATATTTGCTTTAAGAGTAAAAGAAGCACAAATGGATATTATTAACTTAATTATATGATGAATTAGTTAGTAAGTGTAAGATTTGAGATGGCGGTCGACAACAACGTTGACCGATGGTTAATGGATTAATTAATATCGGTTGATGTTAGTTAATTATACATTTATATGGTTGCATGGATTTGCATGGATTGTGATGCATAAGCCTTATGTAGTGAATTAGTTATGAATGACTAAATATGATATAGACCCTATCTAGCGTGATATGTGGTAAGTCATAGGTCGGGTGGAGTACCCAAGGATCGGGCGGTTATCCTCAAAACTCGGTTATATAGGGTGGAGTACCCAAGGATCGGGCGGTTATCCTCAAAACTCGGTTATATAGGGTGGAGTACCCAAGGATCGGGCGGTATCCTCAAAACTCGGTTATATAGGGTGGAGTACCCAAGGATCGGGCGGTATCCTCAAAACTCGGTTATAGGGTGGAGTACCCAAGGATCGGGCGTGTATCCTCAAAACTCATAGATTACATTTAATGATCTAGGACCGGGCGGTGTCCTTATGATAATTTATTTGAACAGGGAGGAGTTCTATACACTCATAGGTATATGGGTGGGTTGGGATTTAAGTCAAGGACATTGGCTATTATTATTTTCCCAACTAAACAATGACCTACGGGTCGGGTATTTCCAAGTGTATGTATACTAATATGTATTTCAAACTTGGGGGAAGGACTATACGTATATGTATTATCCTATGTTTGGGTCTTATACTTGAAACGCTAGTTATTCTATATTTAGCCTGCTACTCGCTCGGTACTTGTACTGACCCCTTCGGGGGGCCCCACCATTTTCAGGTTGAAGCTAGGGCTTGCTACCTGCACCTTTTTACGGGTGACATCAAATCAAGGAAGACGTGGTTCGTGCTTCCTCATTTTATTTCAAATTTCCAAACATTGCTCATGGATATTTTTATCTGTTATAAACTATTCTTTTGGGGCTTGCATGCCCATGTTATTGGCCGGTTGTGGCTTATGACTTACCGTTGAATATTTCCGCTATTCATTGGTTTAAATGTGATGTTGTTATGTATGTTTACTACTGAGTATGGATGGATTATTTTTCTCGAACGCCTTGTGTAATCAAGTGAGGTTGACTCGCGGGTGACGTCACTTGATTATACGGCGGTTGTACACGCGCTTGGATTGCGGTCTGGGGCGTGACAATTAAGTGGTATCAGAGCCATCTCAGTTCTAAACTTTATAATCAACCTCTCACATGAGATTTTACAAAAGAGTTTTTACCGAAAACCATGGGCATTGTATTTTGACGTTTATGGGACTATTGGAGCTTAAGTTGCAAGGCCTCTAATTGTTAAGACGGTACCCTTAACAATTGGTATGGTGGTGACTTGGGCCAATACGTGTCTGTAGCGTTCTTCCGTCAATTGACATTCACATTTATAGGAGTCTAATGACTCATCCATTTTCCTTTCAGAAATGGAGGGCAGGCGAATGCGGACCAGGAACAACCCGAGGGGGCAGGCGCCGGTAACATCCCAAAGGGGAAGCCGGGCTGCATCTCGGGGTTCAAGAGGAGGCCGTGGAGGCCGTGGAAGCCATGGAGGTCATCAAGCTCAAACTGTGAGTGATGGCCATGTAAGCTCGGTGTATGAAACCAACACCGAGGACTATGACTCAACCTACGTTCCGGAAACGGAGCATGAGGAGACCCCGTATGATGGGGGTGACACATACACCGATGATGACGACGAAGAGAGTGATGCCAAGTTCGCTCAAATGGGCGAGTTGCTTGAGTGGTATCAAAAAGAAAAGCTGAGGAGAGACCTTAGGCGCCAAGCAAGGCGTGGCTCTCGTGGTGGTTCGGGTCAAGGGAGTCGGGGAGCTTCCGTGGCCACCCCAGCGGCGCCACAAGGTGGGCATGAAGGAGGTTTTGTGGTAAGAATCTCCAAATACCTCAAGGAGGCTAGGGCCTTGGGGTGTAGGTCCTTTGACGGCACCGGCGACATCACCGTTGCCGCCGATTGGATCAAGAAGGTGAAGGATGCATCGAGAGACATGCAGATTACTCCGGACGTGAAGCTAACTGTCGCTTCACGGCTACTTGAGGGGATGGCTTCTACATGGTGGGAAGGTGTAAAAGGGAAATACCGTGGGGACATCTCATGGGAAAATTTTGAGCAAGAATTTTATGCTCAGTACTACTCCGATTTCGAGGTTAATGTGAAAAGGAGGGAGTATACCAACCTCAAACAGAAAGAGGGTTGCACAGTTAAGCAACTGGAGCAAGAGTTCAGGACCTTGGCTAGGTTCTTACCGGAGTATGCGATCAATGAGGACCGCATGACTGAGCACTTCTGGGATGCCTTACTCTTGGACATCCGAGACCGTGCCACGTATTCCCGCCTCATGACCTTTAGTGAGGTGGTAGAACAGGGCATGCTTGGAGAGGCCCAGTGGAATGAGAGGAAGGCAAGGGACGCCGAAGAGGCGAAGAAGAGGAAGTGGAATAATTCGGGGCCACCCGATCATTCTCGAAGGAACAACCACGGGGGTGGTGGTGGTGGCGGTGGTTCATTCAAGGCGCCGGCTCCACCGGCGAAGAAGAATAGGGATGCGAGGTGGCACGGACCTAGGCCACAGAACTCGGGGCCACCTAGATGTCCCAATTGCTCAAAACAACACTTTGGGAAGTGCAATGAACCACCGAGGTGTTTTAAGTGCGGGAATGCGGGCCATATGAAGGCCAATTGCCCTCATTTGATGCAAGAGAGTGCCTCGGGAGCTGGGGGAGGGATCATTCAAAATTTTATAAATCTTATAGTGATAAATAAAAAAAGCTCAAACATGTAGTTTTTCAACAAAACTTAAAATGTGTTTAGAATTGGATACACATGTGAAAACAATATTTATATATTAAAATTATAAATAATAATGATAGATGTTTTGAATATTTCACATATACTGTGTAGGTAATTAGTATGATATAACATCAATAAAAATAAATTTTAATTAGTATAATATAACAACATCAATAGAAATACATGTTAATTAGTATAATATAACAACATCAATAAAATTTAGTTATATTAATAATAATTAGTGTGAAGCGTTGTAGTATATATACATTTTGAGTGATATTATTTCACAATAAGCATGTAGTCAAGCTAGGTTCCGTCCTTGTTGCTTTGCTATGCATCCCGGGTTTGAATCCCTTGGACGAATAATTTTTTTGGACGACCAAAAAGGCTTGGATACCCTATTAAAAAAGGCAATAAAAAAATAAGTGAGAGAAAAAGTTACCTGCTATTAGAGGTAAATGGGCTCAATTGATTCTTTTTGAAGAGTAAATGGGTTTATATGGCTCTTTTTTATAATACATGGATGGGTCTAAGTGATGGTTACACAATAGTAAGAAGGCCTATTTGACCCTTTTTCCTTATTTTTTAGAAGATTAATAATACATACATATTTTAAATATGCGAATAATTAGTTTTACATTATAGAGGTAAAACTATAATGGTAACTGAAAGCAAAATAGAAAGCAAAATGGTAAATGAATATTATTACATGGATGAAAACCAAAGAAAAAAATACAGGAATCTTTTAAAATATGTGTCATACTTTAAGCTTTATATATTTCTCATTCCCACAAGCATAAAATTATCCAAATAAAACCTTATCCATCCCAAACCTTATCTAAAAATTAAAATAAATAAATAAATAAATAAATTAACTCCCCAATATTGTTGTACGAACGTGTGGCACACCCCATGTTACTAGCAAACGTTACTGTTTTTTGAAGAGCAAAAATGAAAGGAGGAGGTCAGGCCAGGCTAGGGTATTTACCGAGAAGTTTCAAATGAGAAGATGAGAAGGAGAGCAGAAGGTGCCAAAACAGGCTGGCTCGTTTTGACGCATAAATCCAAAATCCATGTTCCTCTTTAAACACAAAAGGACAAGCAGGGTAACGACAACAACTGCTCTCACGCTTTGTCGACAACGTAACAATCCATAAATGAAAAGCTTAAATCAACTAACTCATATCAAATGTATGTACGTATCTGACACACAAACACCTCCCTATTTTAAACCATTCGCCCTTGTTCATTTTTTATTCTAACCGCTTTCTAGTCACAATTATTACTACCGCTTCAATGATCTTTTGTTGTCTGGATCTCATTCTCAAAAGTATTATGATCTTTGAATAGGCAGAAACAGAAGTCGGAGTGTTTTAGTGGGATTTGGATCCTCTTTCGTGCGGCAAAGGTGGCTTGCGGCATCCAACGACAATAACAATAGGGGAGGAGAGGCGGTGGTGCTGCTTTGGTTGAATCGCGTGGCTATTAAAGCCACACACCGTACCTTGCTGCTAAAGCAAGGCAGAGAATCCCGATCCGTTTTGGTGAAAGTGAAGAAATACTTATGGTGCTCTAATTACTTCTGGAAACTAATTCTGATTCTGTTTTTTCTTTAAAAAAGAAGTAGAAGCAGAATCGGTTCCAAACAACCATTTTCCCTCTAGCTTCCCTTAAAATTGCATCATCTTCCTTTTAAGTTCGTTCCACTGTGACTGTCTCGTACCAAATTTAGTAAATATTGTGTGTTTATTATAACTCATTCTTACTCTATTTTATTTTTCAATTTAATATCAACCACATAACACATACGTAGTATTTCTTAATAACCACATTACCTCATCATTTCTCAATATTAGTTGGATGGAGGTATAGTACCTTTCTTTCACTAATATTGAAACATTAGGAGGTGACACGATTATTAAGAATAATGAATTTATATTATTGATATTGAATTGATAAAGTAAAAATAATATAAATTAAAATTATACAATCTTTACCAAATTTAAATGACATAATTATAGTGAACATAACCAAACGAAAGATAGGACAATATTAGCAGAATGGAGGAAGTAGTACTATTTCTATCTCATTGAACTTTGTCAACTTCCATTTTTTATTTCAAAAACTTTGTCAATTTCCAATTAAATCAACTCATGTGTGATTCTGTTTAATTTTCTTTTTCTACACAAATTTCAATCACAAAACTTTTATGTTACTTATTTCATACCTAATTAGAAGCTGGCAAAGAGCGAAGGTAATATTACATATATGTATCAAAATAAATAAAATTTCGAAGAATTTACACTTGAGTAATTCTCCCTACTCTCCACCTCTTTTATCACATAATTTTCTTAATTCTCGTGCCAACATATACATACATTACATGTAAGTATCCTACTTTTTGTTTGTCGTGTTTATTTGAGTGGAATTGTATAAAAACGTAAACCGACTAAACATAAATAGTGAAATTGTGAAGATTTGTGATAGAGATAGTATTATTTGGAGAATACTTTAAAACAAATTGCGTGATACGTAGATAAAAAAATACTCCGAAGGATGTTGAAAACAAAATATGTGAACAGTATAAAATGAGGAAAAGTACAATATAATCTCGTCCTTATATAGAAACAGCCCAACCTCCCTTGGCTACTTCCTCTGTAAGACTGAGCCTGCACAGTTTCCTGATTCTTCCTCCAAAACAGTAATACGGAAGCATTAATTTTTTCTATTGAAGAATGTTTCAGGATGATGGATCGTCGTCTATTACATCCTCCTCGCCGCAACAGAATTTCCCGGCGACCTCGATTTCCCCCGGCGGCTTTGGGTCCTCCTGGCTCGGGGAGCTGAAGCCGGAGGAAAGGGGGCTCTGCTTGATCCACCTCCTTCTAACGTGCGCGAATCAGGTCGCCGCCGGCGCGCTGGAGAACGCCAACCAAGTGCTCGACCAAATCTCCCAGTTAGCCTCCCCTGACGGCGACACCATGCAGCGCATCGCCTCCTACTTCGCGGAGGCGCTCGCCGATAGGATTCTCCGGACGTGGCCCGGACTTTACAAGGCCCTTCATTCCACCAGGTTGACCGCTCTTTCCGATGATTTGACCGCCAAGAAAACGCTTTTCGAGCTATTTCCCTTCTTGAAGGTACACTATATTTCATGTCGCCATAATTTTAAATATGGGAATACTTAATATCACCATAATTTAAACTCATTGGAATAACTCTCCAATAGTCCAATATAGTTTTATTTGAATTTGATAATGAAAAACAAAACAAATATATTAATTCTTGATGCAAAATAAAGAACAGAGCTCATAGAGATGAAATGAACCAAGGAATTACAGTATTATTATTGTTAAGGAAGGAAATCAGAAATGCATAGTGATACTGTGGAAAGACTTTATATTTTCTTATTTACTTAGAATAATATAATGTTTTCATAGAGTAACTACTAATGCAAGACTTTAAACACTAATATATTGAACTATTGGTTAGCAAAAATAACAAAAATTTGATCTTTAAAAAAATTATTAAGACAGATCTAGTTACTCCAAAGCTTGGAGATAAATAAGACAGATATTTAGATCTTATTAAGACAGATCTAATTACAAAAATTCAAAGTTTATTTTACCTATTTTTGATACCATGAGATAAGTAAAAGATGATAAAAGTAAACAGTGCAAATAAAAGAATAGGGAGCAAATGATAAAAAAAAGTGAGTATTCTAATGCACAGAGTTGTATTATTTTTAATGTTCGAAAACTTGGATCTTTAATACGGAGTATCTAACAAGGTTTATGGTTGCAGGTGGCTTTCATAGTGACTAACCAAGCAATAATGGAAGCCATGGAAGGGGAAAAGCTGGTTCACATCATAGACCTGAATGCTGCTGAGCCAACACAGTGGTTGCAGCTGCTGCATGACTTGAGCAGCCGCCCGGAAGGGCCACCGCATCTGCGCATAACGGGGGTGCACCACCACAGACAAACGCTGGACCAAATGGCCCGTCTCCTCACGGCCGAGGCAGAGAAGCTCGACATCCCTTTCCAGTTCACTCCGATCGTCACAAGGATCGAAAACCTAGACTTCCAGAAACTCCGTGTCAAAACGGGGGAGGCTCTGGCCATCACCTCAAGCCTACAGCTACACACTCTCCTTGCGTACAATGACCAATTCAGGAAGAGTTCACCGCCAGGGGATTTCCTCGAGAATGACTCTGCCTCGAGTAGCAAGATAAAGGGATTCCTTAACTCTTTGTGGGCACTCTCCCCGAAAATCGTGATGATAACGGAGCAGGAGAGTAACCACAATGGGCAAACATTGACCGAGAGGATGTCGGAGTCATTGTATTACTACGCGGCGTGGTTCGATTGCCTGGAATCGACGCTGCCAAGAACATCATCGGAGAGAATGAGGGTGGAGAAAGCGCTTTTAGGGGAGGAGATCAAGAACATTGTGGCGTGCGAGGGAGTGGAAAGGAAGGAAAGGCACGAGAGGTTAGAGAAGTGGTTTTGGAGGTTGGGGTCGGCCGGTTTCGGGAATGTGGGGTTGAGTTACTTCTCAATGCTGCAAGCAAGAAGGTTGTTGCAGAGTTGCAGGTGTGATGGGTATAATTTGAAGGAAGAGAATGGGTGTTTGGTGATATGCTGGCAAGATCGAGCCCTCTTCTCTGTATCTGCTTGGAGGTGCAGGAAATGAGATCATAATCACTGTTATTATTCTTAATCAAGTAATTACTAATTAGTAGCCTGAGAAGAAGTGTTCATCAGTTTAGACTTGGTTCATCGGACCAAACCAGTGTCTCTAATTTTTGGGACTGATAACAATGTTTAGTTATGTGACTTGTGTCTTTTTCCCCATTTTGTATTCATGTAATGTAACTTCTAAATATATTGGTCCGGGAACCAAGTTTAGGCACCCCCTCTCTCGCTCCAAGCAACCAACTTTTTTGTAGAACAAAAAAACTGAATAAGAGGTAATCGGTAATAGGCTTTGTCAGGGACAATTCAAAATGGATCTCAAGGATTCAAGACACAGTCCTTAGCCTAGTGAGTTTTACGTAGGCAGAAACGTAAGAACATGTGTTCTCAAATAGTCAAATGTTCATAATAAGACTGAGAAATAACTACTCTCTTCAAATATAAACTACTATGATCTTTCCAGGATATACTTGGACATATATAAATAAAATCACTAAATAAGAATGAAGATGACATAAACAAGAACTACGGCCAGCCACTAACGAGCTCGAGATATTTAAAATGGAAAATGGGAAAATAATGAGTCTATTTTGGTTTAGCTTTAGAAAGAATCTAAGGAGTATCAAATTTATGAATAGCATTGCCAATTGAACAAGTGCGGAGCAAAAACATTCACATTAAGATGTTCCTTTGTAGTGTGGTATATATGCTCCTATCTAGCCAAAACAACTTTGTGTAGATCCACAAATGCTGGTTTCCTAAAACATTTGCTATTTTGTTGTAGATCCAACAATGAAGTATTTATGTCATTTCTTTTTGCGAGTCTTGCATTAGCCTAGATGTGAGGTTTTATACTTTCAAATGTCTATTCTTAACCAGTTTTATACCATGTGTTGAGAAACAAATAACTGAGACTGGATCTTATTCAACTGGGTTTCATGTTTTTGTGACCAGAAAACATTAAGAGCATGTTTCAAGGGAAATTAGGAAGTCAGAGAGGCATATCATTATAACCGTTGGGCTTCAATAAAAGAATAAGCCTGGACCAAAAAGTGGGTCGGCCTGGGTCGAACCAAAAGTCCAAGACCAAAGAAATCCTTGAGGATTGGGTCATTTAAATTCCTCCAAGAGAAATTGGATTCAATTTATATTATTATTGAATCTCGATAAAATTGAGTACAGATACGACACCTACAATTAAGATCTACCTACTAAAGGGCCCAAATTTGATGAAACCCTAATTTCTCTCTCCGGTCCCAGTTTACATTATTAGAGAAGCCCTACGGGATAATCCCCTTCTTTTTTCAGAATTGCCAGAAATACATGCATAATAATAATATGGAAATAGATAGAGAAATGTTATTGATGTATTTTTAGGCAAAAAAAACATCAGAGATTTAAGGACATTTGGGGCCTCCTTCCTTGGTCTTCCAGTTATTGTAGCAAGGGCAGACTCTCTTGTTTCCATAAGTGCCTGGAGGCACACACAGACACTTAGCACAGCACTTATTGCAGAAGAAGAGACACGGCTTCTTGTACTGTGTATCCGAGCACCGGTTTTGGCACCTCGGTGAACAGTCTGCACCATCACAAGGACACAAAAAATCACTAATTTTGATTTTTTAAAGAATTAATTCTACATTTACTCATTTAGTCGACGACTTTCATTTTTGTTATGCCTCTAGTAATTTTAATCATCAGAAAATATTAATAAAAAAATCATAGATAGCGAAAGACAATAATCATGTACTAAAAATAATCAATTGTAGAAATGTAAAATTGTGAATCAAAAGTGGAATTTCAATTCAGTATGGGAGAAAGAGGCAAACAAGCCCTCACTATTTGTGATTCTACATCTAGACCCTGAACCAAAAGACTTGCAAATACACTATCAACTCATTGAAAATTACCGACTCCATTACTTAATTTTCAACAAGTTGAGAAGTGTATCGCGAGTCTTTCGATTCATCAGTCTGATTGCATAATTGCAAATGTGTAAACCGGAAATAATAAGGTTGTGTATGCAAACAGTAAGAAATTTTCAAATTTTGGAAGACAATAGTGCTGTGTAATTGTGTGAAGACAAAAGTAATTATGGCATGTTAAATCACATGCACTATTTACCTAGAGAAAATCCAGAAGTATCCAAAACTCAAAAGTACATGAGGGAAACAATTTATTCATATTCATATACTCCGTATAAAAACTTTTTGACCATAAGGAATACAGTCTGAGCAAATTATTGTCCTACCTCGAGGATGCAGGCTGCCTTCAGTTACACCATACTGCAACCGGAGAAAATCTGTTAGTAGGAATTTAATCCTCCGAATAATAACTACTTGTATATGCTGTGCCTGTGTCATACGGAGTACTTCTTATCGCTTATCAATTCTCAGGGATGGAACCAGTAGGAAATGCCCGTTAAAAATAGGATAATTTGAGTTTTTACCCCGTTTTATTATTCAAATTGAATTTTGCAACCCGTTTTTGAAAATATTTAAATTTGCATCTCAAATCCCGTATGAAAAGACAAAAATGTCCTTCATCAACAATTCTATTGACCTTCAACATATTCCAGATTAAGGGAGATTTGTGTATTCTCATACGGAATTGAGTGCAAATATAAATATTTTTGAAAATGAGGTGCAAAATAGGGCACCTCTGTTTTGCAAAGAATTGAATTATTTGACATGATAACTTAATTAACGAAGGGTATTGCTTGACTCAATAGAAGAGAAAACACACCCACAAAAGTGAGGTAATATTGTCTTTTTCTTTCATTGTAGTCTAGCAAAAAAGGGGCAAAAAGTATGTCGTAAGGCACCTTTCTTTAGTTGGAGCAACAACAAAAATGAGTATTTGGTGGAGAGTTGCACACTAAACGATTGTCGAGTCACGTAGCTTTGGCCTTATATCAACGTCATAGTGTTTTTCATTAGACACTTTAAATTTCAAATAACATATTTTACAAATTAAGACAAGTTCGCTACAGTTTTTCCACTTAGCAGACATTTTTTGGACAAACGCTAAATTTGCCCTTTTATAGTTTTATTAAACACCAAAAATTGTGCACTCGATTTATCATTGATGTTGAGAGCACGGGCTCAAATTTTTGCCTCTCACTAACAAACCAACTATGCATAAACCATACTTTCATAATCCCATAAGACTTGGTAAAAATTGAATTGAATTTGTAGTAATACACTAAATTTTGTAAACCTTAAATTTACGCAAGTAGAAAGAAGTAACTTTAACCTATGCTACATTAAATGGAAATATGCTAAAAAGCAAAGCTATCCAAATTTAAAAAAAAAATGGTGTAAGCAAAGCTATCCATATTTTAAAAAAGCAAAGCTATCCAAATTTTAAGAGAACATCAATATAGCTGTGGTGTAAGCGCGTTTCTGGCAAAAACCACATTTATCGTGCAAACTACAAAGTACAAACCGCCACATTTTACTCAACTTGATGAGCTTTAGAGTCCGTCTGTTGCACTTTATGAACTTTAGTCGCCATATCAAAGTGCAACGTACAAATCCAATAGTATAATGAGGAAAATGAATGTGTACATAATTTTCACCGGAGAAATGATTTTGATTTGATCCCGAACTTCGGATAGAAGATCTTAAGCTACACATTACTCCCAATTCCCAAACATAATACTGCTTTACAATAACTTTGAACAGTAGTTTCCGTTGTAATTTTCAAAAGTTTAATGAGTGTTGTTCGAGTAACTTGCTCTATTTAGCTGCAATATCAATCCCAAACCCAGCTTAACCTATCTATGTATCCAGTGTATAGCATATAATTACAACTAATAATCAATATCATTTGAGTTTATGATTACATTCACAGTCCATTTTAGCTGGGCAAAATCATAGTGGTTGCCCAAATAGTAAAGAGAAAAAATGGTTACCATGCGATTGTTGCCAAGCGATTGCAGGGAAGATGAATGTACAGCTGCCATTGAAGCCTGCAAGCAACATTCACCACCACTAATGCATCAGGCACAGATCTAAATAGAGAGTGGAAAATGAAGTGTACGGCGTACAGATCTAAGGCAAAACTAACCTGGTTTTGAACTAGAAGAGCAATGAGTAAGATTGCACGCTTCAGGATGCTCAGCAACAGAGCCATTCTGCTTTGCTTTGAGATAATCAAAGAGAATATGATAGAGAATGGGTGTGTATATGCTAGGAGGTTATAAAGATGGAGTGGTATATGTGTATATATATACACACACTCAGGAAGAGTATAATGAAAAATGTGTATATAATATACACACACTCAGGAAGAGTATAATGAAAAATGGGTGGTACGCGTTTTTTGTACACCAAGCAACATGAACCACCGGAATCGAGGAGGCATAAGTCTCATATGCATATGGTGTGTTTTGGGGTTCTTTAAAGAGTATGGAATGTATATTTTGAAATAAAATTTAAATTGATGTTTTGATATTTCGTAAGAACCTTCCGTTGCAGTTAAATGCATTTTGTGACGTTGACGTTATGCTTTCCTACTTATTTTGAGCTAATAATTCCAATTGTTCAATAATAAAACTTATGCTTTATAAATATGTTTAAATATGGTCTAACCTGATGAAAGTCTTTAAATAAATCCGTTTTGAATTCTGCCTCGTGACACATTTTGTACACCTTTTTTTTTACACATTTTGTGTGTACGTAGCAAAACTCAGAGCGTAATTGCTTGTTGTGTATATTTGCAATATTGGGCTATTCCCAAACTTTCAAGTTTCAATGTTTCACACTAAAGTAGAGTGCATTTGGTTAAACTAAGGGAAGTGTTTGGGATTGCTTATACTTTTAGAAAGTGATTTTGGAAAAAGTGATTAATGGTAAAAGTTAAGTTGATAGTGTTTGAGAAAAAAGTGATTGTGAAAAAGTAAAAGTTGGTAATGTTTGATAAAATAAGTGTCTTTTGTGTAATAGAAAAAGTGAGAAGCAGTTTAAGGGAGTGTTTGCCATTGCTTGTGCTTCTTAGAAGTGATTCTTTTAAGAGATTATTGGAAAAGTGATTTGTAGTAAAAGTTGGTAGTGTTTGGAAATAAAAGTGATTTTAATTTAGAGGTAAAAGTTGGAGTGTTTGGTAAAAAAAGTGATATTTGATGTATTATATTATGAATATACAAAAGTACCCTTATTCAATTTAATAGTAATTCCAAAATGGCGTACGGATCGGACTTTGTTTCAGACCAATGGAGATACTCGTTTCAGAGAGGAGGCACTGTGCGACGGACGGCGGTTCGACCACCAACGGCGGTTCTCGACCGGTTTTTTCTTGTTGGGGGTTGTACGAGGAGGAGGGGAGTCTACTGTTGCGTCGGGGCCTGCCGTAGAAGAGCTCGTTTCTCTAGTCCTTCCTGATTTCTTCTTCTGCGCTCAATTTCTTCTTCTACTCTTCTATTTCTCCTCCTTGATTCATTAGCAGATCCCCAACCCTTTAGCAACGTAACTACCTGGATGGAGAATCCGATGGAGAAATGGAAAGCCGGAGAAGAAAGATGGATCTAGACGTTGATGTGCACGAGGGTAATTTAGGATATTAACCTTAAGTTTATGGATAAACTTTATCCTCAATGTTTGAAATATTTACCAAATAACCTAGAAGTAGATAAAAGCATCACCCAGACTGCTTCTAACTTTTGACTTAAATGTGCTTAAATTAAGCTGAAATTTTCATTTGCAAACACACATTTTAGCTTATTCTAGTAAAAAAGTTGATAAGTGCTTTATAGTAGTGTTAGCAAACACTCCCTAAAACACCTCTCAACCTGCTTCCAGCTTTTACCTTTTAAGTGATTAATTTAAACAGAAGCTGTCATTTGAAAACACTCATTTCAGCTTTTTTAAGTCAAAAGCTGAAAAGCACTTATGTTAATCTTTAGCAAACACTCCTTAAGAGTGGGTTTAGTAAGAGCCAGTTAGTAGCACTGAAGTGAATTGAATCAGCTGAAATTAATGAATTTCTTTGACTTGACTGAATTAGTTAAATATGTTCAATTATGAAAAAGTAGTGTTTATTATAGTATATTTTTATTATTAAAGTAAAAAACTAAAACATTATACGAAAAAAATAGTTAAAATTGACCTATACAGTAACTTCGGTTAATTCAATCAGAAAAATAATTCTAACTTTACTAATTTTGATTATTACATAATTTAGAGTGCGGAATAAAAAATTATTTGTTTAGTGAAACATTAGTTGGTAAGCCTAATAACCGCAAACAAGGCTCCCCAAACGAACTCTGAGTCTACAAAAATTATTGAAATTATAACTTAAAAGAGTGAAATTGTTAACGTTTGAAAAATTATTTCAAATATATTCTTTTAATAAGTAAGGAAAAAATTAAGTTGAAAATTAAACTAAAATACTTATATTTATCCACTTCTTCAAAATTGACCAAACATTTAACACTAATCTCACTTTTTTTATTCTTAATTTTGTGCAAGATATCAAATATTTAATTAACACTAGTCTCACTAATGTAAAACTTTTTCAATGTACTCATTTCAATATTTCTTCGACCCAATCAAATCACTCTTGGGTCAATTTGAATTTTAAAAAGACATCTATATTAGAGTTATGATGGAATAAAGTCAGAAGAGATCTAGTAGTTGTTTTAAATAAAATACAATTTTTACCTTTTTCATGTAGCCACTTCAATATTCCTTCAACGAGGGTAACAAAAGTTTCAAAGTTGGTCTCTTAACAGGGCGAATTTCTTCTAATCAATTGTGAATTTCAAAGGACCCAACTCTAAGCCTTGCTTCAAAGTTAGGAGAGGTAAATTGCAAGCTCCTATAGTATAATGTTTTGCGGACCAGTTACAACGAACAAATTCGTGCACAATTAATCTACGACCTACTAAGAGTATGTTGAATCCCCAAAACAATTTTCATATATAAAGTGTCATAGATTGGTCGACACATAATTTTTAGGAAGACTAATTCTCAACCCATTGAATCGCCTACTTCAAGCTCCCCACACCCGACTCGACATAATAGTGGATGAGTAATTACGTAAGATCTAAAAAAAATCGAGTGAAGTGGTTCAGGGTCTAGAACGCACAAAGAATCACCTATAGGATGAAACTCACACACCAGGATTGGATCTTATCAGCCACCATTGAGCTACTCGTGAGAGAAGGCTCTAATTCTCATATTGATGTTTGACAAGTTTGGTTATTCGGTCTCTGTGAAGCAAAATAAACTCAATCCAAACAAAACAATTAGTGCGTCTCACTTCAAAAATGAAGATTAGTGAAGTGTAAAACATATGTTTACCTGTCTATACGTCAAAGTGTACTAAAATATCCTTAAGAGTTGCTAAGTTAGTATAGTAGTTAGGTGAACGATCGAGTAGTTGAGTCACTAGTTCAACTTTCTTGCAACACATTCTTGATCGATTGTGTGTTACATAAAAGGTTCTTAGTGCATGGTTGACATGGTTTATACGGAATAAGTTATTACAAAAATTTATGAATGTGGTTTCAATTCTCAACATTTAAAACAAGCATAGAACAAAAATTAACAAAGTGTGGATCCCAAAAATGAAGGTCCTAATTAGTGTGGATTCAAATTTTAGAGAAGGTCTAGAGAAGGTATTTGGACGAGAATTCGTTCGTTGTTTGATTGGGGGCGATCTCTTTCTGGTGCATCTAAAAAAAGTTGAAATGATTCAAATCTTCTTACCCAGTTACCTATATTGTCTCCATGAACCACCGCTATAAATCACGCCTCATTGTATATTTGTATACGTGCATAATCTCACTAATCCAAAACCAATATATTCAAATTTCCTTCGCCCTATTAATGTAAATGTATTGATTGAAAATGATACTAATTTATATGGAGTAGAGGGAACACAATTTTGGTCAAACTCAATCTTTCTATTTTATAGGGAATACTTTTCTGAATAACAAAACAGATTTGTAGTGTGTATTTTTTTCTTTTGGAAAGTCCATTTCAAGAATAAGAAATTTGTAGTAATGTTTTTATCTCTTCAAGACAAATCTCAATGATTGAATATTACTTATATTACTCAACGTGTTAGTTAACTTAAATCAAATTTAATGAGACGGAGGGTAGTAAAGTTTGGATTGCATCGGTTCCTTTTTAATTATAATGATTGAAATAAAAGAAAATACGATAGTATTGTATAATACTCCGTAAATACTAAGAGGGGTCTACTGTTGATCTATTTTTGCAGTATATCGACTCCACCTATTCAAGGCTTTCTGAAAACCTGTTGTTTACGGTTCGTCATAAGTGAAACGTGCCTTGGAGCCAATTAAAAAGACTCAAGCCGCACATGCGAGCATATTTAAGAGCATCAATCCGGATCAGATTTGTAAGGGTGTGGGGAGAATAGCATCAATGATACATTCTGGAGTTTTTGTACACTCAAATCACATTCGATCAAATTAGATTTAAATAGATAACAACTAGGCTTGAGATACACATTTTTGTACACACACTAACACACTCGTGTCTGTGAAATGTTTTGTTTTGTCTGTATACAGACACAACTTATTTCACAGACACTTCAAATGCGTTGTGTCTGGATACAGACAAAAAAAACACTTCACAGACACGAGTGTGTAAGTGTGTGTACAAAAAATGTGTAACAATAGCTTTTTCCAATAGATAAACCAAATAAGATCATATTAAACCAGATCAGATTTAGACACTAGTTAAAAATGGAAAAGTTCCCGAAATAGGACTAAAACAGTTTGAAAATTCCAAAAAAGGACTGTCATGTTTTTATTCTCAAAATAGGAGTGATTAATGCAAAAGTTAGAAAATACTGCCATGTTTGAAGTCTGGTACTGCCAAAATATGGCAATAATTAGTCCTATTTTTGGAATAAAAACATGACAGTCCTATTTTGGAATTTTCAAATCTTTTTAGTCCTATTTTGGGTAATATTCTCTAGTTAAATATGCATAAAAGACAAAGTCATTTCCTTAAATATTAGGAACGGTTGAAAATAATAATCACAACTATTGCCGGTCCGCTAACAATAATCCTAACTATTGATTATTTTTGTATAATCCCAACTATATGAACTGTCCGCCAATAATGATCCATGTCCGCATATTACCTGCTATAACAGGTGAATTTTTAATAGAAATTAAATGTAAAAATTAAAATTTGGGGTAATTTATAGGAATTACCTGTTATATCTCTTTGGAAACTATATGAATTTATTTATAGTCGGTCACGTC